GATTAAAAATTTAAAGGACTAAATTGTGTAATTGGTAAAGTATAAAAAATGACTTAAGTAAGACCAATTTGTAAGAGATAGTTTATTGAAAGGGCAATTTGGTATTTTTAGTGAAATGAATTTAAAACCCTTAAATTAGGATTCAAGAGAAAGAGGAAAGTGAAAAACTTATTTTCTCTTCTTCTTCTTCTTCCCGTGGGTGAGAGTGTCCCTCCATAGCTTAAGTTAAGATTCATTTAGCTCATGTTTTTGGTTGATTTTGGTTGGTTCTTGTAACATTAAGTAATAGGTAAACTTAAGGAAAGTTTATATGAGATTAAAACTATGAAATAGAGGAAATATTGGAGATTTAAGAAAATGGGTTTTAAAATGATATGTTATTATATGAGTGTTTATTTATGTTTATTTGTAAAATTGACTTGTTAAAGAGGTAAATGAAAGATCAGGAGCATTGGATAGGATTAATAACATACTAAAAAAAGTAGTGTGATTCTTAGAAGTGAATGTTCTTGGGAGATTTTAGATGGTTTAAGAAACTAAATAAAAGAAAGTGACCATGGATAGGTCAATAAGAGCTTAAGGGTATTGTATGGTATAAACATACCAAATTTTGACCCCATTTGGGTGATATTCAAGCTGAACACTGATAATTCTGGGCACGAGTATCGGTACTGATAGAACAATATCGATATTATAGGCTTATAATCAGAAGAATCTATAGAGTAGTATCGATACCGATTCAAGTGGTATCGATACCAAGAGGGGAGTATCAATACCATGAGGATGGTATCGATACCTTTTGATCACAGAATGCAAAAATGGTATCGGTACCGTAATAGAGTATCAATACATTAGTATAGCAATATCGATACCATGGTGGGGGTATCAATATTAGTGAGCCATAAATGTTAAAAATAGACTGATATTGTATAAAAATTAATAATATGTACTCTTGAGTAACGCTTGAGTATAATTGTTAGGAAATATACTAACCATGGATGTTGTATGTGTCTTTATGGGATTCTTGAGTAGATCGAAATCAAGCTCCCGAGTCAAGCAAAACTAAAGACAAAGAAAAAGTACCAGAGTGATCAACTTTGCATTTTGGGTATAATAGCGAGAAAATCTAGGTGAGTGCATTTATTATGTACGTATATGTTACTGTAGTAATAGAAATATGATTGATATATATATATATATGGTGATTACTAAATGGCACTGAGTGTGCAAAAAGTTGAGAAATTAATACTAAGTGTATAAATTTTCGTATGGGCACTTTGTGTGTAAAATTGAGAAATTCATACTACGTGTATGAATTTTTGCATGGACACTACGTGTACGAACTAATAAATCTATAAAAAAATGTATGAATTTCCGTATAGGAAATATATGTGCAATTATCAGAAGTTCATAACAAGAAGGTGAATTATTGTATTGGTAGTGGATGAGCAATCCACGTAAATTATAGTAAGATTGTGGGATTATGGCATTGGAACTATAGGTATAAACCATAGAGCGTATAATGATTTGAAAGAGTTGATTGATATTATAAATAATTGTTATAGTAGAAATTGCTCTAAAATAAAATATTTGAGGCCTAACTATGCATTGACAGAAAGGTGTCAATTATGCCAGTTAGATGAAAGGCTAAGTGCCTTTGAGGCCTAACTGTGCATTAACAGAAAGGTGTCAATTATCCCAGTTAGATGAAAGGCTAAGTGCCTTTGAGGCCTAACTGTGCATTTGGCAGAAATGTGTCAATTATGCCAGTTAGATAAACGGTTAAAGACCGTTGAGTAAATGATAAATGGCCTAGTTGTGCATTTGGAAGAAAGGTGTCAATTATTCCAGTTAGATGAACGGTTAAAGACCGTTGAGTAAAATATAAATGGTCTAGTTTGCATTTGGCAGAAAGGTGTTAATTATGCCAGTTAGATGAATGGTTAAAGACCGTTAAGTAAAAGATAAATGGCCTAGCTGTGCATTTGGAAGAAATGTGTCAATTATGCTAGTTAGATGAATGGTTAAAGACCGTTGAGTAAAAGATAAATGGAATTATAATGAATTTGGATATAAACTATGCATGAGTAGTATGAAAGGATGCCATATAGATATAAAAGGTACAACAATGCATAATTGGTATGAATGAATATCATAAAGGAAAAACGTAAACAGTACATAATGGGTATGAAAGGATACCCAAATGAAAATACAAAATGGTGTGTTAACAGTAGTTAAGATGCTGCCCATAATGATTGTAGAAGATATATGATCAATTGGCACTTTAGTGTAATACATGTATAGTATTTTAATTTGACGTACATCGTGCAAATAATGAATAATTGGGAAAAATATATAGAAGGATAGATAGGCTGAGCCTACTAAGAATAATTTAGTTGACTTATTGAAAGAATTATGGTGTAATTGAGAAGGGCTTATTTGGTCCTTATGGATTTCTTAACTTTAAATTGTCATTCAATATTCATAAGATATTTATGCATAAAGTTTGATATCTTTGCAGTAATATGTCTCACTAAGTAAATACTAATGTGAGTTGATTTCAAGAATAGGTAAAGGCAAAGATTATTTGCGTAAGGAGTGTAGCAGTAACAGTAGCAGCAACGATCATCAATTAAGGTTGACCCAACAGTAATGTTAGGACAATCTTATTCCTTTTGAAAACTTAATTGGCATGTAATGGAACTAAATTAAATACTTTGTAATGTATTTAAATTGATAGTTTTAGTATTTTACTTATATGAATATCATACTTTGAAGTTGTTTAAAAATTGAAACAAAATTATACGGTTTCTTTTAAATAACAAAATATTTTAAAAGTGATGTGACATCCGTATCAAGTGTACGAAAGGGTATACGGGAGATGGGTGTTACACACTAGGGGTGTGCAAAAAATCAGATCCAGTCGATATGATCTTTTGATCTGATCCAAAAATTTGGATATCAAATCTTTTTTTTATTTTTAGATAGTTTGGATCAGATATCGGAGAAAAAATTAGATAAACGAATCGAATACGAATCAAGGAAATATCAATTTTGGATTATCTGAATATCTAAAAATAAATGGATCTTTAATAACTTCTAATAGATTTATTATTTATAGCTTTTTTACCTAGGTTTGTGTTTGTACTCTAGGATATTAGGATCATATTTAAAGGTTTTTTAGTTAATTTTGCATTACTTTCATTGATGAGGTGAGTTGATAATTTTTGGATTAATTATGATATTTTTTTTATATTGCTACCTTGATGATGTGACATTCTTTGATGTTACAGACGTTGCTGCGAAGCAGGATTGTAGGGTTATTGTTCTACAATCGATATGCAACCAAAAGGCTTTTGACAGTAGGACAAAATACTAATATGGAAAAAAGTCTTAATGGAAAAGGATTATCAATTTAATACGGGCTTAAACTCTATATTTTAGGGTTTTTAACCATTATATAAAGGAGGTAGTTGCAACTAATTAAAGGAGAGCTTTTTAGGGTTTTATTCTTTCTTTTTTTTCTCCACCGTCAACCATGGTCGCTTAGGCAATTTTGGGGAAATCAGCAGCTGAACGTGAAGGCATGATCATCACCAAGAGGTGGTAGTTGGTGATCGATGATAGCATCAATGAAAGAAATGATAAAAGGATTCCGAGAGGGATTTTTTATTTTTGTTTAGTTGAATACTCTTTATTTTGTGGGAATTGTTAAACCTTGGGTGCTTATATTTTAATTATATTTTATGAAGTTCATTTTAATTAATTTTTTCCATTGATTCGATTGGTGTTTGCTTAAATGTATTAAGGTTTTTAATATAGAGATATATAATTGTCCAGTCCATTGCATCGATAGGTGAGTGACATTGTGTGAGTACTGCATCGAGAGGTGGGTGCCATTGTCGGACCATCAGTGATTGCGGGAGCAACGTTCCAGTGTAGAGAGATCTTGTTGACTGATTATTGTAGCATACTTAGTAAATTTGCATAAGTGGGTATAGAGATATAGCACTGCTATGAGTTTTTGGGTGGAGCCATTGAGAGAGGAAAACATGTTAAGTTAATGTTAGACGAGTCAATCTTATTGTTATAGAATCGTTAATTGCATGATTGAGTTTAACAATACCATAATCTTTATCTTGAATTGGTTCATTTCTTCCATTTCCACTCATTTGATTCCCTTAATTCTTTCATATCTTTATTCACATATTTATTTTAGTTATTATATTTTTATTGCTTTGTTCCCAGCATCATCTACACAAATATGTTATTTTACTTACTTATGTTATAGTCATTATTTGAGTAATAATAGTCTCTGTGGATACGATACTCGATGTATTAATTTTATCCACTTTATTACTTGATATGATAATGTTTGCATTCACTTTTTTGTTATATTATTCGAAACATCAAGGTTTTTGGTGCCATTACCGTGAACTAGTGCCAATACTTTTAGAATTGTGTTTTTATCTCTATTTTATAAATAGATTTTAATATATTATTATCGGAGATTAACTCAAAGCAATAGAGGTTTATCAACATCAACAGGAGCAATTAAGACATAATGTTGGATTGATGCCTCATTTGCAAAATATTTTGATGCTGTCAGGTTTTCAAAATATTGATGACATAAATAGGCTAATCCGAGAACATGTTGTTTCCACATTGGACGAATTAAATCCTAGCATTGTTCGTCCTGTCATCCATGATACCCACTTTTAAACTGAAGTCGGTGATGTTCCAAATGCTACAATCAATGGGGCGATATAGTGGTATACATTGAGGATCTTCGAGCACACTTGAGAGAATTTATGGAAGTGTGTGACTCATTTATACAACAAGGAGTTCCATAAAAGGCCTTGAAGCTGAAATTATTTCCATAATTGCTTCGCGATAAAGCCAAGGCGTGGCTCAATTCGCTGCCACCTGGTGGTATTGCATCATGGAATGAACTTTCCCAAAAGTTCTTGCTGGGATTCAAACCTCCCAACATGAATGCTATATTGAGGAATGAAATCATATATTTCAAGCAAATGGATGATGAGAACTTGTACGAAGCATAGGAGAGGTTTAAAGACTTGTTGTGGAAATGTCTGATGCATGGTTTCCACAATTGGACGCAAATGGAGATTTTCTACAATGGACTTAACATGCAAACAAGGATGGTTGTAGATGCTTCTATCAATGGAGCATTGTTGGATATGTTCTACAACGAAGCATTTGATATCTTGGAGATGATTTCCAACAATGACTCCCAATACCCCACTACAAGGAGTATGTTGGGTAGACGCGTTGCTGTAGCGATGGAGAACGATGCTCTGATCATTGTTCACATATGTGACAACATTGACTGAAATAATTAAGAAATTGCAAAACCTGGAGGTATGTGTTAAGTAAAAGCTATATCTTTTGTTAACTGTTTAATGTGGTGAGAACAATAATTTTTAAGAATGTCAACAAAACCCAAGTTTGTCTTTTGTGAGAAATTATAACATGAATGAAAAAGCCAACACATATGGAAACACCTACAATCCAAATTTCCAGAATTATCCCCAAACAAATATAGCATTGCAATCCAATTTTGGAAATACACGACACTATCATCAGTAATAATATACTCAACAATAGCCAATGTTGTATCATCGGTAGTCACATCATTAGACAATACCACATCAACAACGCAACATTCAAAAAAAATTCAAGGGCAGCCTTTCATCCAAGCCTCAACAACATCATTATCGTTTGAGTCTCTACTGAAGAACTACATCTCGAGAAATGAAGCTTTGATCCAAAGCTAGTCAGCATTGCTAAGAGTATTAGAGAATCAACTTGTATAGCTAGTCAATGAGTTGAGCAACAAACCACAAGGGGCTTTGCCAAGTGACACTAAAGTTCTAAAAGCTCATGGGAAAGCTCCTTACGATGAGATTGCAAAGCCATTGCAACTCATAGTAGATTCCACCTTGGAACCAATTGATGAAAACAAGGAGTATGATGAAAAGCCTAGACAAAAAACAAAAAGAAATAAGCTGGAAGTAGAGATTGAGATACCCAGTGTGGATACTACAGCAAAAGATATAGGAAAAAGTAGTAATTCTGACAAATTGCCTCCAACAATGCCGATAACAATGACACTTCTGATGCCACCAACATTACATCTGCAGTATAATCCAAGACTCCTCCATTTACCTCAAAGATTCCAAAAAAGTAAGGAGGACCATCAATTTAGAAAATTCAATGATGTGCTAAGACAATTGCGCATTAGCATACCATTGCTTGAAGCATTAGAGAAAATGTCAAACTATGTTAAATTTATGAAGGATCTGGTTCCTAAGATATTTAGGATTGATATTTTGAGACTGTTTCACTCACTAAAGGGTGCAGTGTCATTGTCACAAGCAAATTACCTCCAATGTTGAAGGATCTAGGGAATTTTACTATTCCTTAAACTATTGGCAATCAATACATAGGTAAAGCTTTTTATGACTTAGGTTCCAGCTTTAACTTATTGCCTTTGTATATTTTCAAGAAACTTAGGATTGGTAAAGCACAACCCACAGTAGTTACACTTCAACTTGTTGAACGATCCACTATCCATCTCGAAGGTAAGATTGACAATGTGCTAGTACGAGTGAACAAATTTATCTATCCATCATACTTCATTGTCTTGGATTGTGAAGCTGACAAAAAGGTATACATAATAATAGGGAGACCATTCCTTACTACTAGACGAACATTGATTGTTGTTAAAAAGGGAGAACTCACATTGCGCCCCATTGAAGAACAAATTACATTTAATGTGTTCGATCATCTACAATGCGATGAAGCAGATAAATACCATGATGTTAAAATTGTCAAAGCAATAGTACAAGAGCAATTAAATGAATGTGAGAGTATTAAAGAACTCTTTAATATTAATGCGACAAAAGAAGACTTAGACAAGCCAAATGGGAACCAATGCTTCTAGATTGATCCTAACATTTTTGAACCATTAATGATGTTAATAAATTTACAAGATGAGCATCTTAGAAAAGATGAAAATGCTACCATGGTGTAGAATGACACAAAAAAATTGAGGGAAACAAGGAAGGTCTCGTAAAGCTATGACAATGGAAGTTCATCTACGAAATTTTACCCCATGAAGCCACAACGTTTCTATGTTAACAATGAAGAAGTGCACTTAGTGATTGATTCTAGGAAGCAAAGGTTTTGTTGTGAATAATGTTTTAATACCATATGCATAAAGGACTTGAAGCTTTACGATTATGTCAAAGCTACCATTGATAAGGAAAATGGGATATCATTTTACTAAGACCCAGGAGAAGTTACGACAAACTTTAATTTCACTATCTGAAAAAAAATTACATGTTTTCAATAAGTCATTTTATTGCATTAGATTAGATTTTGTTTTCTCTTTGTTAGTTCGATTTAATGCTTTTATCTCGAGTTTTTTTAGGTAATGTCCCCACCTTGATCACTGCATCATCCTCATTTTGTGTTATTATTGTTGCCTTTGCTTTACAACATTAGTTGGAGTTCCAAATAACCATTGTTGCATAATATCTTCAAAATCATTAGGGGAGTGTTAAAGTCCTTTATCCCATGTTTTCTTTTCTATTTTTTATTTATTTATTTTTTTTATGCATTGAGGGCAATGTACATCTTAGGTTTGAGGGTGTGTTTGATGCTACGAAATTGATAAAACAATATACGCAAGTGCACGCGTCGTAAATCAAGTAATAAAGTGGTAACAAAAGATTGCTACGGATAACTAACCCACATGGAGAAAAAATTGTTTACAATAGAGTTTAATGATAAAAGAGAAGTTGGATTCAATGATTGATAACAAGAATAAAAGGTAGAGATACCAATGCTAAAGAGCATGGGAATGCTACAACAACTAAGGGAGCATTAAAGACCAATGGACCTAAGATGCTTTTATCAATGGGCTGCTATCAAAATAGTGATGCTAAAGTTCCATGTTTATGAGTTATGCAAGAATTAATCCATAAGTTATTAAACTCTTAACTCTCATTAAAAAGCTAATAAGTTCATAATTAAGCATAATCATAGGCACCATATATCTATATAAGGAAAAGCTACTCTCGTAACCACCTATGTTGTGATAAAGTTACCATGCAAACTTAATTAATTTTATCTCTAAAATCAACCAATGATCATATGCATAAAATGTTATTATCTCTAATCAACATTATATTAAAATGACAGCATCAAAAACATAGTTCGAATAGCAAAAACCATAAGTCAAACATTTAATCGAGCACTTTATGATCGATACCCAAAATAAAAGTAATAATCATTCAACATTCACAAATATTGTTTTCCTTTTCTCAAATTCAAGACAACAATCCAAATATTGAACCTCAATTGGTCATTTTGCTGCTGCACTCCCCGGTGGATGAACTAGGCTGCCATTGATGCTCAAATATGTGGAGAGATGTAGGAGATAAAATTTTGGAATGATTCAAATGATGAGAGAATCACTCTTATTTATAGGTTAAAGGGGTGGTCCTTCAACCAATAATTTTTCATCACGATTAAGGTGATTTTTTTACAGATGCCCTCTTTTAGTTGTCTCATCAAGAAGGTTTTCCAATCTTCTTGGTGATTCATCGAATGCTTTAAATCAGCTCAACAATCATCACATCATCACAGCATAGCAATTCATGTAGCATCAAGTAATGCCCCCAGCATCAATGCACCTAATCAAAAACATAAAAATTTAGTAGATATCTACCAACTTCAATCCTCAATGCAAATGATGTAAAATAGGTAAAAAAAGATCTTAATAATGTTCCTAATATGCTTAAGTTCAAGCTTAACCTAATTAAAACATATTAGAAAGATAACTTTTTTTTGGAGAGTTATCAATGTTGCTCAAAATTTTTATATTGCATTTGCATTTGTCATGTTCATGTTGCATTTTTTCATATTTTCACTGCATTAAGATTAGGATGTTTTGTAGTTGATGAAAATTTTAAACTTTTTTTGTAACATCTGTCTCCGTATATCTTTCCATATACGAGCTACATATGCCACATCACTTTTAAAACAGTTCCTCATTTGAAAACCAGTACAATTTTGTTAGTTTTTATAAAACATTTTAATTTACTAAAAATAAATCATGCATTAAACTTTAATAGACAAATAAAAAGAGATGTTCAACACTTCACCATTTTTCAGAAGTTTAACTCAAAAGCTTTTCAGAGTGTTTTTACTAAACCTATTACATGCCAGCTAAAATACATCAAAAGTAGACATGTATGTCATATTGTTATTGACGAGGCGATTCCGGCTTGGATGTCCAATAATCTCCTTACTCAGCTTGTATTCAACCTACGCGTGAAATAAACACACGTTAAGTATTACATAGTGAGGCAAAACTAATCATACAAAGAACTCAATATATCATTATCTTTTATCTATAAAATGTTAATTCATTATTTTCCATTCATTATCATTTCTTTATAATACACCCGTAGTGCCCATACAGTTATTTATAAACATATTATGAATTTCGAAAAATCCACACTTAGTGCCGAAACGGTTATTCATCCACATAGAATGAATTATGTGAAATGCAAACTTAGTGTCAAAACTGTTATTCATCCACATAGGATGAATTCCGTGAAATGCACACTTAGTACCGAAACGATTATTCATCCACATAGGATGAATTCCGTGAATGCACACCTAGTGCAGAAATGGTTATTCATCCACATAATATGAATTCCGTGAAATGAACACCTATTGCCAAAATGGTTATTCATCCACATAGGATGAATTTCGTGAAATGCACACTAGTACCGAAACGGTTATTCATCCACATAGGATGAATTCTGAGAAATGCACACCTAGTATCAAAACGGTTATTCATCCACATAGGATGAATTTATTGAATTGCACAGCTAGTGCCGAAATCTTTATTCATCCACATAGGATGAATTCCGTGAAATGCACACCTAGTGCCGAAACGGTTATTCATCCACATAAGATGAATTATGTGAAATGCACACTAGTGCCGAAACGGTTATTCATCCACATAGGATTAATTCTGTGAAATACACACCTAGTGCGAAACGGTTA